ACTAAACTATCCGGTTCCTTTCTTCTGAAATGGTTATAAAAATAAAAAGATTATATTCAGGTTATACTTTCTACCGTTCAGTTTAATATATTTGTCTCCCCATCCCACCATCTAAAAACAACATACCAGTATACGTAATAATGCAGGCCAACTCCCTGTTTTGAATGGGTGTGAAACTTGGTCTCACATCATGAGGAAAAGTGGGGGTGTTTGAGAACAGGCTGTTAAGGGGAGTATATAGAACTAAGAGAGAGGGTGTAGTAGGAAGTTGGAGAAAATTTCTATTTGCTGGCAAACAATTAATTATCATTTTGAGATATACAGTGCGCACTTGATTGCACGCACTGTATAAGTCATCGGCTTTGATAATAACAGATCAACATCTGGCCCTGACGGACATCGAACCACTATTCCCCTGTCGTCCAGACTGTACCGAGTGAACTGAACAAAGTTCTACGCTGAATTGTAGAAGAATTGGGCCATCATAACTGTGGACATGAACGTGCAGTAAGTCCTCGCGACAGAATCAGAAATCACACGCAGACAGTGGCATGAATCTAGCATAACAATGGAAGCACTCCCACTTTGTCAGGATGTCGTTAAGGCTGGCTGCACTTACATTTTTTTCATCGCTCAAGCGTTTCCTCGAATATATCATATTGCTGTTATTCGTAACCTGAACGAGTTCCTACGCCTTGACCTTTGTCGGCAACACATACCGAAATGTCTGCTAGTGCCGTGGGTCGATTGCGGTGGCCCTTGTCCAAAATACGTATTGCCACGCATCCTGGTAACGCAGCAAGTATTTAATGGGTTCCGGATTAGACGAAGCTGTTTAATGGATAAGTCTTTTACAATTATTGAAAATGATCTCTCCCAGACGATGCAACCTGACTAGTCCTTCGTCTCTCGATTTTCGTCTTCATTCCGTTATTCTTGTCTTCAATTGATATTCTCTTCTATCTTCTGTTTTCCACTCTGTTCTGCTCTGTTTTGTTTGGGCTGTTATATTCATCAGTCGGACCGCCTAGAAGACACTTTTTTCAAGAGTTCCGTTTCGTGTGTTCTATGCACCGGTAAAAATGTAAGTAAAGCTATCCCTGTAACAGGCCGTGGGGACCCATAGGGTTGTGAGGTGTTGAGGTTCCCACATTTTCTAGACAATCGGCTCATAGATGGCGGTAAGGTTGTCAGCCCTACGCACCGGCAGCCCTTTACCCCCATGAATATTCCAAGAATACTCCTGCTACTAGTTTCTGTTAGAGGCTGAGTAGACCCCAGGGCCATAGTGCGGCTGGAAGGATTAGGTAAATTGAAAAATTCCACCTCATCGGGACTCCAATCCGCAACCTTCCGACTTGTAGCATAGTGCTTTAACCAACTACGCTACCGCGTGCCCCTCTTCGCATCGGTAACTAGTGTATTCGTTACCGCGGGAGCCGCACTAGTTCTGGTTTTCGTTTCCGTGGTGACGTATGTTAAGCATGCGTTGTCGCGTGAACATGTTTAATTGTCACTCAGACAACGATGCGGAACCGTGGATACCGTGCCGTTACCTAACAAAGGACGCCCGCTCCGACTCAGATATTATGGCTTTTAGGCGGCACGCCACAATATTTTGGGAAAATCAGTTGCCCATGGGGGGGGGGTTACACTTCACTTAATATTAACTTACAGTGTAATTTGCGGTGGCAGCCTCGAAGGTACAAATTCTTGTCGCGCTCGTAAGCTGCTGGTGTGATATGTCGTCACGTTTTATAAATAATCCTTCCACGATGTGTTTCGATCCTATGAGGTCATCATCAGGATGTGTTCGGCAGACTGCTTCAGGCTGCTGAATGTACAAAGCCGGAAGTGTACTTATAGTGTATGACTTTTGTTTACTTATCTCCAAATCGCATGACTACCGGTAAATCTGTAGGACCTCTCGGACATAAAATTTAATCTTATGTAAATTCCGCAAATTTTTCGTCGTAATATATTTCGCACCAAAACGTAAGTGAAAAACTCTAAGTTCAAAATACACTAAGACTTTTCTCTATGTCATTTAAAAACCTTACTTGCATCGTGATTAGGCAGCTACTGGGGACATTTCTTTACTCAAAATTAAATTTGTATATCAGATATTTTGCGTCATAAAACGTTCTAGATCGAAAAAGTGTTTTCTTATTTCAGGCAGAAAGATGTCGCCTCATTGTGGGCCTGTTACGATAATGTAACACATTCACGTTTGACCATGCACGGGTAGCTCTCAGCCCATACCCGCCCACTTCCTGCATCGCTGCAACAAATCACAGCCTATGATAGATTTACCGCCATCAAACCTCAAGTCCATGCATGAGATCATCTTCGCTTTTTGGGTACTGCCTTTCTGACATATACAATTTATGTATTTAACAAGGCACGAAGTATTAGCATAAACATGCCTGGTCACAGTTCATTCATTCATTCATTCATACTTCCAGTTGCTCCTTCTGGAACACAGAACATCTGCCAAACGCTTCTTTTCACATCAGCTTCTTAGGCTTATAGACAGTCGGTAGGACTCCTTGGACGGGCGCTTATCTCGTCATAAGGCCGCTACATACACAGAACAACACAAATGCAAAACAAACGTAGACAGACATACATGCATCTCATGGGATTCAAACCCAAGACCCCAGTGTCTGAGAGGGCAAAGACAATTCATGCCTTAGACAGTATGACAACTATGGTCGGCACACTTGTTCACATTACCTGGTCTATTTCAGGCTAGTGTTCTCTGTTTATTAAATTTTAGGCCAGTTTCCGAAAAGAGAAACAGCTGTTCAGTTAATCTAGTCCCAATTTTATTTAGGGTGACAGGGAGCAGTGCCAACAGAGGGAGCGAAAACATTCACATTCGGGATTGGCGCAACATAAGTAACACAAATTAAAGTAGTAACTTCACCAAGCTGACTGACATTTGATTCAAATTCTTTGAATTTCTCTTGTGATTAGAAAATCGAATACTCTCTATTGTTTAAGGCAGTAAGTAAAAGTTAGTGTAAATGTATCCCTGTAACAGGCCTGGGAGGCCCATAGGGTTGTGAGATGTTGAAGCTCCCACATTTTCTAGACAATTGGCTCACAGATGGCGGTAAGGTTGCCAGCCTTAAACGCCGGCCGCCTTTTATCCCCCACGAAGATTCCTGGTATTCATTTCTGTTAGAGGATGAGTCGATCCCAGGGCCATAGTTGAGCTGGAAATATTAGGTAAATTGAAAAAATTCACCTTATCGGGATTCGATCCTGCGACCTTCCGGCTTGTAGCACAGTGCCTGAACCAACTACGCTACCGCGTGCCTCTTATTTAAGGCAGTAAGCTAATTAAAAAAAATACGGCTTCTTAGCGATTGCAAATGAAATTACGTTGCTTTCTCCTTCACAAAACCCACGACTCTGCAAAACGGTTTTTGCATACGTGTAAGCTTATGCATTACCCTGAAACACCGTTTCACATGACTTTCCCGCTCGAGTGTCTTACACCTTCAGTATTTAGTCTGACTAGTCCTGTGCTGGAGAATTTGCTGTACCTCACCTTGTCTGCTTCCAGAGCAACCTACATTAGTTTCAGGAACAAAGTTTCTCTTTTCTATTTGTCACTGGCTCTCTCCCGTCCTTTCTCCTTTCCTCGCCCCTGCCTTCCTCATTTTCTTTTCTCTGTTCTCATTTTAATGTTTCTTGCTTTTCTAACTTCTTACTCTTTACTTCTTTCTATATCTATCTATATTGGGGCATATGTATCTAACGGACTCTGCTATGTACTTCTTACTATTCTTACTTGGCATTAGTGAATTCTCGAGTTCGAAGCTAGGTGAAAGTCAACAACCCCCCTTCCGGGTCCTTCCCCATCCTCACACAAAATATCCCTTGTCATTCGGCCCCATAGGACCGGATGGGGAAGGGGTAGAAAAGAGGGCCCTGTTGAGGAAGAGGCATGCCCCCATGACGAACGCAGTTGGCAAAGATGCGTTAAATAATAAAAGATCAATTGATGTAGCGCACTGCAAGCCAGCATACACATCCATCTCTCTCGTAACTGCTATTTCTGCTTCTTGCATAACCATGGTTGGGTTCCACATCAGTGGTAAATGGAAGATTGTGGCTGTGTTGAATAGTTTCACAGATCTACCGCCAGATTTTCACAGGGTACACCTTACTGAATATTATTAAATTTTGGGCTACGAGATTTTCTGAGAAGTAGCTGGTCTGGAACGGAGTCCACTCAGCCTCGTGAGGATAACTGAGGAGCTATTTCAAGGAACTAGGGGCTCCGGTCTAGAAAACCGAGATTAACGGCAGTGGGGATCCGAAGCGCTGACCACGCGAGACCCTCTATCCGCTAAATTTGGCACTAACTTCACCGACTAGCGGCGGCCGCTCGGTCGGTATAGTTAACTTTCGGACTACATGCCACGGAGTATGTCTTTTTTTTTTATTACTGAAATGAACATTAACGAAATAGGATATGAGGGTGTGTACCGGAGTAGTGAGGCTCGGGACAGAAGCCAATAGCGGGATTTTGTGAATAAACTTTTGGGTTCCATAAAAATTCTATTTTTTTTTCTCCAGCTCACCGACTATCAGCTTAGCAGAAATGTTGGAGTAGTTACGGATTTACTTTGAAGCGATCTTGGAACATTTCAAGTCTCTGTCTTGGCATTAGCCTGGAAAACACGATAGACCATAAAATAACTGGAAAACCTACCGAAATTCGAAAACGAACAGCCCCAGAATACAAGTCGCGAGGGTTGCCATTACGCTAACCTGTTCGATACATTTATCGTGACGTCACTATGCAGGGTAGAAACCTCAAAAATGGAATCAATCTTAATTTCGTCCACTTGATTAAACCTTATGACTAATAGATGACCTACCTGTCATTCATTTCCCTTACACGGTAATATTGGCAACAGTGTTGCTGATCTCCGTATAGTTTCGTACGAGAGCCTGGGAGCTGGTTAGAGGCACAGATCTGCGCAGGCGCTGGTGTACAAGTAAGACCCGCGCATTTGTGTCTCTAGCATTCGGTGTTTATGTCGAGTTGAGTGCGGTTTGCGAGTGCCTGCTTTCACAGTATTCTGTTGCGTGAGACCGCGAGACGGTAAGTATTACTGTTATTGGAGTTCTTACGTTTTTATAAGAAGTGCTTCGCGTGTGTGCCAGCAAGTAACAGCTTTGAAAATGACAGATTTTTTTTATCACACTCGATATACTAGTCATACGCTGAATTTTGGGGGTTTTGCTTCGCTTTAAGGGGAATTTTAATTACAGATCAAAATAAATATTTAGCTTTATCTCTCAGTCTTCTGATGAAGCTTGATTTTCGGGGTTTATTTTACATATATAAGTTTTAATTGCCTTCAACTATGAAATAATCTCAGTCATGTGGTTTCATGCTCTTGTATGAATGTATTTCGAGGCTTTTCACCGACTGTGTACACAATACATTGTCATATGAATACGGCTGTTTGCAAGTTTAATCTCTTTGTTTTCAAGGGCCATTTTACTTTAGGGCACAAATTAAATTTTGGGTAGGATTCTTTGACGGACTTTAATGGAGCTTTACATAAATTTTCCTCGATACCTACAATACCTAATGTACATTGAGGAGCTGCGATAGCGCAGTCGGTACAGTAACTGCACAGAGTTCAGACATGCTTCGGAGCTCACCCACGCTCCTATCCAATGGGCACAAGCTTCTGTTCCCCAAGGGGGAAAGGCTGCAGGAGCATGAAGAAGACCGCTCACCTCCATCTAATAAAAGGTGACGTTGTTCCTGTGCTACCATGAAAACGTATGGGGAAGTAGAGGTATAACTCCACAATTCTTGGCTTCAGAAATAGATAGATCAGTCTCACGCCCCTATCGCTTTATCCCTGGGGGAAGAGCCCCCAGTACACATTGGATAGGAGGTTGGGTGGACCCCAGATCCGGTTTGGACGACTTTGAGAAGAGAAAATTCTTGACCCTACCGAGGCTCGAACTCCGACCCCTCGGTCGTTCAGCCCATAGCCAGTCGCTATATCGACTGAGCTATCCTGGCTCTTTACATTTAACTCTAGTAATGTACAATATATATATACAATAAATAAATTTGCCTGTGGTTCTGTATGGGTGTGAAACTTGGTCTTTGGCATTAAGGGAGGAACAGAGACTGAGGGTGTTGAGATTATTTGGACCGAAAAGAGATAAAGTGTCAGGAGGTTGGAGAAAACTGCATAATGAGGAGCTTCATAACTTGTACTCTTCTCCAAGTATAATTAGAATGACCAAGTCAAGGAGGATGAGGTCGGCAGGTCATGTAGCACGAATGGGGGAGACGAGGAACGCGTATAGGATATTGGTGGGAAAGCCAGAAGGAAAGAGACAACAGGGAAGACTAAGGCGTAGGTGGGTGGATAATATTAGAATGGATCTTAGAGAGATAGGATGGGATGGTATGGATTGGATAGATCTGGCTCAGGATATGAACCAGTGGAGGGCTCTTGTGAACACGGTAATGAACTTTCGGGTTCCATAAAATGCTGGGAAATTCTTGAGGAGCTATAGAATTGGCGGCTCCTCCAGAAGGGCTCAACTCCATGAGTAAGTAAGTAAATGTACAATATATAAAGGACCTCTGTCAGTCTATGCTTAGTACAGTAGATCATGCCCTAACTCACGCAGTTCATATTATAACGGCAGCTTAGTCACTTGAACTGCCGTACGCTTGACCGCCACCAAGTTTAAGCTTCTTGTATTTTCTGTCTCGGGCTTCGCCTTTTCTCATGTCGCGAACATTTCCATTTTCATGATTTTGTAATACCTCTGCTTGTTGCCTGCACAATTGCGTTATGCAAGCATAAATATACGGCACTTGGAAAGCCATGTGTATCTCGCGGACCGGTATGCCCCTTGGAAATTTACCAATGGTGGGGGTAACCTTCCAGATCTAAGTAACTAGTCAGAGTCAGTTATGTTATGACCGACAGCCAGTCGGCCAGTTTGTCTTAGTGTCAAGTCCAACCTGGTGCCCAAGACCAGATTTATGTTATGTCAGACAGTTGCGGGTATGTTAACTCATGATTTAATTGTTTCGGAAATCTTGCATTGTAACAACATGTTGAATCAGCGATGAATCCAATCGTTTGTATATTCCGAGAAATCAACCCAATATGATATTTGTCCCTAATTTGTTTAACATGTCTTTTCCTCGTTTCTTTTTGTGAACCATCACGATGTACTTCGCTGTTCATCTCATAAATTTGATTTCAGAAACCATAATTTTGGGATATTGTTGGTTTCGGCGTCGAGCATCCACACCCACTTGCGCAGACGTACCTCTATCAATTTTGGAATTTGTTTGGATTGAAAATCACAATTTCATTAACGCTAATTCAATATTTACGAAGCAAAATAACGCGACATTTTGTAACTCTTCGGCCACAAGTTCACTGCACTTCCATAAGGCGACATTTCTTTGTAATTCAGTCTCTTCAGCTATCCTCTTGCGTCTAAAACGTGTCATTTTATAATTGTTCGCGACATAATGCAGTTTACTCTGTAGTGGGAAATGTTTCCGGGATACCTGTGGGTCTATGCATGCCCTAGCTACCGCCGGCCGGATATGCCTTGACAATGGCGTGGCTTCCTATTTCCGTTTCAGGCAGAATAACGATCACCTCTGTCCCAGGAGTGATTCCACCGAGTTATTTTTGTGGGAACGTCCCGTATCGTATGTCATACCCATGGCTTCGAAACGCTTTGTTCGTTGGTTGATGCGATTGATTCATTGTGGGTTAAAACTGTTATACCTGGGAGAGAATAGTGTTCTGGTACTGGCACAGAACTCGTTTTGCTGTAGCGTGTTCTTCTGTTGTTTCTAATCGAAATCGAAAGAGATTAAATTCACAACATGAACGCAATGTAGTGTCACGTGATAGGAGCGTGACTATAGACGGGTTTTGGATTGATTATCGGATTTATTAGACCCTTTGATACAGATTTTGACTTACTTACTTATGGAGCTGAGCCCTTCCTGAGAAGAAGCCAAATCTGTAGCTACTCAAGAATTTCCCAGAATTTTATGGAACCCGAAGGTTCATTACCGTGTTCACAAGAGCCCTCCACTGGTCCCTATTCTGAGCCAGATCAATCCAATCCATACCATCCCAACTACACTTTAAATATTACTGTCACACACAGACTAGTGTTCTCAGTCCTTTAGTCTTCACTAGCCTTTGCTTTGTAGCGGCTTCAATGGCTGTCGTACCCCTTCATCTGGGTTCCCCAACTATCCCCGGCCTCAGTTACAAGCTTCTCACAGCAATAACTCACAACGACTGAACTGCAGTTCTCTGATTAACTCACTGACTCACCAACCAAATCTTCACTGACTCTGTCTACTAACTCTTCACTAACCCCACTGACTTGTCTTGATTGTAACATCTCGGAATGGACCGCACAGAAAATACCGTTCTATTATTACTGTACAAGTGTTGCTTGTTTGTGAAGCCGTTAATTAACAAGGGTCAATATGTCACATACTAATAAAGCCTTCAAAAGGGACAGAAACATTTTTCATGGACTAAAGGCAGCATCAACACTGACCAAACTGTCGAATTCTGTAATTCTAAAATTTGACCAAGGCCGTGACTGAGCAAGTCGATTCAGTCGGTAACACAGTCGGTTGTACTGCGAACATGAGCGGCTCAAACCTCGGCCATGACCTTTCCTAATTTTCTTCAGTTTGTCCAACCAAATTCATAAATATTTCCTCAGATTACTTCACGAAGACTTCCAGGCCCTTTCTGATTATTCACTGCCCATGCTACTGTTCGACTCTATACAGACTGAGACACTGATAGCATCTTTAAATAAGTCGAAAAGAAATAATTTTATAAAGACGCCTTGAACCTTTCCATATCTTAATATATTGTCATGTGTAGGATGGTACGCGTGACGAAAATGATGGGTTCTAGTTCGGATGACTGGATTTATTGGCACCTTGAATACAACCTGTCTTAATTGCACCTAAATTACAGTGCTATCGCGCCAGGGCCCTGAAGGTGACCACTCACCTCCAACCAGTGCCGAGGTCAAGAAAAGGTGGATCTATACATCCACTCCCCCATACGCCTTCGTGAAGTAGTGCTTAATTAGCTAAGCACAGGGACATATTTGCCTTACTTGACTCCCACGATGCTTATCATGTGACCTACGTCACTTACATATCATGAATGGAATACTGCCTTTTCGTTTTTCTCCGTATTGATTCAGTTTTAAAGGCAAAGCTCTGGGTCACTTCACCTGGCTCCGACAGGTACTTGCTGCCCCCTCAGAACCCTCTACTCACGCCCTGCCCCGCCCCACCTCGGGACATCCTGTAAGGGAATTCGGACCAGCACCCCTTCAATAAGCTCGCTTCGCAACGTGTCTGCATTAGTGTTTTCCAGAAATGGAATTTAATTAAACAGGATATTAAGACTGCATAAGGCTGCATAATGAGAAGCTTAATAACTTGTACTCTTCTCCAAGTATATTTAGAATGATAAAGTCAAGGAGGATGAGGTGGGCATGGCATGTAGCACGAATGGGGGAGAAGAGGAATGCATGTAGGATATTGGTGGGAAATCCAGAAGGAAAGAGACCACTGGGAAGACCAAGACGTAGGTGAGTGGACAATATTAAACTAGATCTTAGAGAGATAGGATGGGATGGTATGGATCGGATTGATCTGACTCAGGATAGGGACCAGATTAGGGGTCTTGTGAACACGGTAATGAACCTTCGGGTTCCATAATCACCCTCACCTATCATCTGGGGCTGGTACAATAGGCCAGAAGTGGCCGCAGTACAAGGGACTTAGTCCCACCCCACTAGCAATAAAAGAAAAGGAAAGATAGGTGGAAGACCTAGGCATAGATGAGAGGACGTATTAATATGAACCCTAAAGAAATAATGTAAGAATTTTTGAACTGGATTCTTCCGCCTCAGGATAAGTCCCAGCGACAGGTTCGGCTCCTCGAGAAAAAATTTGGCCTATGGAGATATTTACTTAGTTTCAGACTCTTGTTGTAAGCCATGTATACGTCTAATTAGCCAGCTAGTACAATATTCTTGTTTATTTTCAGGTTCCCTACCAAGGACCCGAGATATCTGTACTGAATTGCGTGTGAAACAGAATTTACGAAACATGGGCGGCATCCAGCAACAACCGTGGACCCCAACTAAGAGACGAGGACCAATCGCAGCTGAATATTCCAGTCCAGGTCCGGCTTGCGTCACACTGCCAAATCTTATAGGTGAGCCTCTTCTCCAGAGATTTTAATTTAACAGTGAACCCCTGAGTAAACATTTTAAGATAAAGATTCGCAGAATTAGTCAGTATGAAAGTTTCGCTTCCGTACAAGACATCTAATATCGTGTTATAAAATTGTTATAAAAACGGCCTATTCCATGTTGAAGAATGTTGGTGAAATTTAATTATCCATATTGGTTAATTTAATATTCATTATTCGATCGTTCTACTGATTATTAAGGGGTCTCTATTCCAACAGTTGAAAATTCATATCTGATTTATATCCCTAATTCAACTTAAAGAAATCCACGCTTATACTGTCCATAGTTATTCATTGTAACGAAAAGTCGAACATATCGTAGTGTCACGTGTAGGGGGTTACGCACGACGAAAATAACGGGTTCTAGTTCGGATGGTTGTACATATTAGCACTTCGTTTACACACACACACTCCCTTAATTACAATTAATACAGCAGTATCGCCGATTTAACACAATTTACAATTCATTGCTGCACACGCGCTAGTAGTAGTAGTACTACTACTATTACTACTACTACTACTACTAGCGCGTGTACTACTGCTGCTGCTACTACTACTTATTTAACATCTATAACTGCTATACAAGCACAATTGGACAAGTCAGTTTAAAAAAACAGCCAAGCACTACATGTCAACAACAACAACTCTTAAAAATGTTTCCACTATTCGTCTCTTAGCAACGTATCACAACACAGACACTAACACTTCAGATTACTATGAAATCTTCATGCTATTTCGTCTTCAATCACTATGGAAGCTCGGAATTAAAAATTCTTCTGGACTCACTCCTCCAGCTTACAACTGACTTGTAACTGCCTTGACGAATTCTGTTACTTCTTTACTGGGATTAAAATACTGTATGCATCTTGGTTTCCTCCATGGTTTCATAACAGTACATTTTTCTGATGTGGGGTTATTAGTCCATGCCCAACCTCCAATCTGGAGGACCAGGTGCTACACTTAATCTGGCTCCTGCCAAAGACCTGTCTAGAATGTGTGTCTCTACCACGAGCTTATGCTCCCGCCAACATAGCTGTCCGGGTCTCCAGGGTGTGCAAACCTCTACTTCGCCATAATGTGATAGTATATAATACAGCACAAATGATATATAGTGTATAATGCAATGGTGGATCGACTGTGCTAGTATGAAATTGTATGCTAAGTACATGACATACTAATTGTAACTAAAAACTGGACCTGAAGGTGGCACATAAATGTAGCGCTGCAACATGTTGTTCCAAATAGCAACTCCACTAGCCAGAAATACGAGTAATGTTGCATTGACAAGAATATAATAAATAGTATCTAAAGAAATATACATATGAAGAAAAGAGTAATTCTAATTTGTGGAGTTCAGTTTTTAGTTGCATTGTGATTAAATGTCTCATTATATGACTCATAAAACATTACTTTATATTTTACAGGAGTTTCAACAGTTCCTGACTCAAAACGTGGGCGCGCACCGGCATTCAGTTTTGGAAGCAGGCATGTGGAACTAAAATAAAATTAAAGTACTCCTATTTATAACATGTTCCTTGCACAAAGTCTGTGAAGTGAACACATAGAGGGAAAGTCATGTGTGTCTGTCTGCCTATATGTTTCACCTCCCAAACCAGTTACATGAGTTGAAGGAACCTGGTTTTGAAAATTTACAATAAAATTTGGATTTGAGATTCTCTCAGCAGTAGCTATGAAGAAGTGGGATCTACTGTCTTGTAGTACAACGAAAGTCAACTGATGTTTCGGAGGAAATTATGCCTCAATTTTCAGGTTCAATGATTAGATCAAGCAAGAAACCAGCATGAAGAGGACATCCAGCAGCAAGTAAGTTCTGCTTTCCGTCTGCTTTGTGCAGGTTTCTTGCAAGGCTCACTCTTCAACTTTGCAGATGGAGACAGTATGTCCCTCTTAAAGAATGATTGACTTTCACTGGGCTACACAGCATTATATCCTAGAAAATAGAACTCTGCAGAAAAAGGTGTCACCCTCAACTCATTTTAATTAATCTCTACCAATTCATTGTTATTGTGCTTTATATGAAGCAACAAGATTGGTGAAGATTTGCTCCATAATGGAGGGAACAATTTCCTGAATAATTTACAATATAAGTTTAAATTGAAAAGTTCATTTATGGCTTTAAGTAAACTGGATATCAATGTTAGTCAGTATGGCTGAAAACTGGAATTGAACAACAACTTTCAGAGTCTCCCCCATATTTAATTAAAAAAATACACACATATACACACACACACACATATATATATATACATACTATATATATACACAGGGTGTCCCAGGAGGAATGTGCCAAACTTCGGGAGGGTGTTCCTTATGTTATAGTATGCCGATATAACCCAAAACACCTATGTCCAAAGTTGAACGGTTACGGAGATAATGGCCAGAGGAAAGTGTGGTCTTCTGGCGGGTCCATGCACTGCACCTGTCAGCTGGCTGCTCTTATCTGTGTTTGTCCTTGAGTTTGGTGATGGCAGCTCACGTTAGCCCCATACACTCGCATACCAGAACGTGCAGTCAGCAATGTTATGTCAGCGCTTGCCATTCATGTGTCATGTATAGTGCTTGGAACTCTTAACGACAACTTTGACCCAGCGTGTGAGCTTTTTGTAGTTCAATTTAATGGCTTCATGTCACTCACAAGTTAGTTTGATGTTACGTACATTATTAACGTTACAGAAACCACATATTCCTGCCAGTTTTAATATGTATTTGGTAATCAACAAGTGTGTAACACCGGTCAAAGTTTCACACTTCTCTGGCCATTATCTCCGTAACTGTTCAACTTTTAACATAGGTGTTTTGGGTTATATCGGCATACTTTAACATAAGGAACACCCTCCCGAAGTTTGGCACATTCCTCCTGGGACACTTTGTATATAACGGGCACACAGTAGCATAGTTGGTTGAGGGACTGTACTACAAGCTGCAAGGTTCCCAATGAAGTGGATTTTTCAATTTACATAATCCTTTCAGACGTGCTATGGCCCTGGACTCAACTCAGCCTCTAACAGAAATGAGTACCAGGAATCTTTCTGGGGTGTAAAGGGCAGCCAGCATGGAAGGCTGACCTTACTGCCATCTATGAGCCGATTGTCTAGAGAAAATGTTAGAGCCTCAACATCTCACAACCCTATGGGCCTTCACGGCCTGTTACAGGGATAGCTTTACCTTTTTATTTATATATGTATATATATATATATATCTGTCCAATTAATTCTGCACTGACAGTAGGTCACAGATAGATGGACAGACAGATAGCTAAATATGACCTCCATATAAGGCGTTCACCTTCAGTTTTTAAGGAATGCCTAAAAATCTAACTTTGTGGTATTCCTAAAGAAAATTATAAAGAGTGAACATTTAATTGGCCTATTTGGCAGAAGAACTTATGAATCACATAGTAAAGTCACTTATGAAAGAAAATAAAGTTAATGTTAGAAAAGGGATAAAACAGTATACACTTGAGAATTTGCTTGTTCTCCATATTCACGGTGGTCACATCTTTGCACTTGAACAACAGATTGTCTCCCAGTACTGAAACACATGTGCTGACCTTTGCTGGAATTAAAGTTCCAATTTGCATTTGTTAGCTGTGTGCATTTAAGAAGCACCATTATTGTCTGGGCAATCAAACACAAAAATTCTTAAGTGTTTCTTTTGAACAATGCAATCCATTTCCTGGTATCTCTAAAACTTTGTGTTTTATGTGAATTTGAAACGTGAATAATTTATGACAACTCTGTATGTTAGCAAAAGTTACAAATCAGAATTGGGCGTTTATTTGAATTGTATTAAAACTTTTGCTACTGACAGCTGTTTTGCTTTAGGCATGGGAACAAGAATGATAGTCCTGGACCAGGACCTGGCCAATACAATGTCACTGGGCTTAGTGCAAAAGGTAAGACTCACATAATATATTCTTCATTCTCTGTACCAGAGGCTTATATTAAAAGCTGTATTACATTTGGCTTTCTGTAACTTCCTTTGTGTGATAAATAACAATAACAATTAAGATATAATTTTTCAAGAAATAATTACTAATTAATTTTGGGTGATTGTACTGTTGATCATCTCGATGTTTAATATAAATTGTTTATTTAATTGCGCTTCCAAGACTGTCGAAATATTTATTAAATTTTAAATTAAATATTACTTATTGCATGAAGTTTTCTTTTGTTTAATATTTGATGAACATGATAAACAATAGAATATCAGTGTTCAGAATGTCTGTGACAATTATATAGTGATAACTAATGGCTTTATGTAATGAGGCCCACATAGTTGATATCCTTTCCGTCTACATGAAAGAGACAGAGTCAGCCTCCAATTAATATTAATCCTAATAATGGACAGTTCAAAGAAAATTCTCCCATATTATACAATGACCAGATGTATTCATTTATCACATGACAGTCTGCTCTGTTACATTAATATAAAGAGTAAAATTACTGACCACAGTAGGCATAATAAGTAAACATTGCCATCACTGTTCTCAGTTACCTGAGGTTAGAAAGTTTCTGCAAAATTTATTATTTTGAGTGGGGGCACGCGGTAGCATAGTTGGCTGAGGGGCTATGCTACAAGCTGGAAGGTCGCGGGTTCAAGTCCCGATGAGGTCATTGGATTTTTTTTTTTCAATTGACCTAATCCTTCCAGCCGCACAATGTCCCTGGGGTTGAATCAGCCTCTAACAAGAATTATTACCAGGAATTAATTAAATAATTTTCCTTGGGAGTAAAGCGTGCCTGGCACGTAAGGATGACAACCTTACCGTCATCTTTGAGCCAATTGTCTAGATAATGTGGAACCCTCAACGTCTCACAACCCTATGGGCCTTCACGGCCTGTTACAGGGATGGCTTTACTTTTACTTTCACTTTCATTTTCACTTTCACTTTTTTTATTATTCTGAGTAAACTTGGAAATGTTATATTTATGTGTCTAGTATTATTAATCAAACTACATTCATTCCGCACGAGAGTTTTATTTAGTTCCACAGTTCACAAAGCTAATATAAAGAGTGATTTTTATCAACAAATTTGGAAAATGAATTAGAAAAGGAAGTAAAAGATTAAACTTTTCATGTAACAAGCCATGGAGGCCCATAAGGTTGTGAGATGTTAAGGCTACCACATTATTGTAGGCAACTGGCTCACAGATGGGAGTGAGGTTGTCAGCCTAGGCCACACCATGGCTCAAGCGGTTAGTCGCTAGCTTCCCACCATGGTTGCCCGGGTTCGATCCCGGGTCTGGTCAAGTGGGATTTGTGGTGGACAAAGTGGCGCTGGGGCAGGTTTTCTCCGAGTACTTCGGTTTCCCCTGCCAATCTTCATTCCACAAATTGCTCCACAATCACCCTCACCTATCATCTGGGGCTGGTACAATAGGCCAGAAGTGGCCGCAGTACAAGGGACTTAGTCCCACCCCATTAGCAATAAAAAAAAAGGTTGTCAGCCTCATGTGCCAGCCACTCTAAAACCCCAGGAAGATTCCTGGTACTCATTTCTGTTAGAGCCTGAGTCAACCCCAGGGCCATAGTGCGGCTGGTAGGATTAAGTCAATTACAAAATCCAATAACCTCATCAAGAACCAAACCCACTTGTAGCAGAGTGCCTGAATTGGTATATGAGGAACAGAATCACAATTTATAACACTGTGCTTAAGAAAAGTATGGGTTTTAATTTTGATGGCTTGATTTATGACTTGACTTAAAGGGGCTCTCCACAAACCAATTACATCATAAGATGGGAGGTTGCTTGTATTCATTCCTCACAGTTGGGCTTAACTCCCCGAGCAGATTAAATGCTTTCGGTTATGGTCTCCAGGGATGTGATGCTATACAGTTTACTAGATAGGTACCAAAGTTTCGTGGGAACTGGATGTCTCGATCTTAATAGTAGAAGTCATATATCAGAAGATCATGATGATAAAATTTTTCTCTGTGAGAACCTAAAAAATTTCATCTTTTAGGCAGCGTTTAAATAGAAACTAGTCTTTTCTAGGTCAGGTCAAGTTCACTGTATTGGTGACTTTAGCATAGTAATTCCAACGCATTTATAGTGTTCTATGACGATTGCTTACTATAAATATATTTCTTAGGCAAGGACTGCCCTCCAGCTGCTACGCTCCACAGCCGACCAAAGGACGTGAGAGCTGATCTTACACCTGCACCAGGTGACTATAATCCTGAGAAGTCTGAGAAGGTTGTCCATGACAATTCTCCCAAATACACATTTGGTCTCAAGACCCAGGTAGAGAAGCCAAGTCAAACGCCAGGTACTGAGTTTCTTTTGGTCTGCATGCATTGTTTTCACTAACAAAAGTTTTCAGTTTTATCTCTTCACTCAGATCTGCTTAAGACTAAGTAAGAAAAAGTAAACATAAAGGTATCCCTGTACCAGGCATTGAAGGCCCATAGGGTTGTGAGACGTTGAGGCTCCCACATTATCTAGACAATCGGCTCAAAGATGGCGGTAAGGTTGTCAGCCATACGCGCCAGCCACACTTTACTCCCCAGGAAAATTATTTAATTAATTCCTGGTACTCATTTCTGGTAGAGGCTGAGTCGACCTCAGAGCCACAGTGTGGCTGAAAGGAGGATGTCAATTGAAAAAAATCCAATGACCTCATCGGGACTTGAACCCACGACATTCCAGCTTGTAGCATAGTGCCTCAACCAACTACTAAGAATTCCTGTAAAGAGAATTTTAGCAGTGCAGCTTCAATTCATGCTCTTGTTCATATTTATTGATTGATTGAGTGATTTTGAGGCATGAAGTCAACCCACCTTAGCTTGTTATTTATGAAAGAAGACTTAAATGTTTGTGACAATGGTATACTACTATAATTACTGACTTTTTGGACATTATCCATGGTCCTATTTTAACTTAAAACGACATTTTAGAGACCAGACCCTGCCTTCATCTTCAGGTAAAAATCCTATCCAGACTGTAACATTATAACAATATCAAGCAGATATAATCTTACTGATATAAAATCAAGCTACATATTACATATATATTTATTAGCATGTTACACAAAAGGGAAAATGTCTTAACAAATGATAAAATGTTTAGTGATTATTTCATTGTGTTAATACAGAACACTTTTCTAGAGTCATTTGGGCTGGAAATATTCCATGTATGCCAACACTGAGAACATAGGTTATTATACCTAAAATATTCAATAAACAACCAACTTCTGCATATGGGTTTTCATTTTATAAACCTTTTAGAGAGTCATGAGATTTGGAAATACTTTTTCACCCATGAATAATTTTCTTTGTAATTCACTTAAAACTGGAAATAGTAGTTCAACTTATTTTAAATTAAAGACATTCAATTTTATTTTGCATGTTAGTTGGGAAAACAAAATTTTGAAATTATTTCATTTTCTAACCTACAGCACCAAATGTTTACAACATCCCAACTATTCTTGGACAAACAAAAGAGGGTAACAAGAAACAGGCCCCTGCATTTACAATTTCTGGGAGGCAAAAAGAACCATTAGATGACCGTGTTCTGACTCCAGGACCTGGAACATACAACAATGCCAAGGCGGACAACTACAAAGCAAAGGCTCCAGCGTACTCTATCAGTTCCCGCTACCAGATGCCTTCTGATACAACACTGAAACCAGGCCCAGGTGCACATTCCCCAGAGAAGGTAAGTTCCTCTTTCATTTATCAAAGAAAAGCATGTTTTCTGTTGCATGGATCCTGCTACATGTGATTAATTTGCATGTCCAGTTGCTGTAACTTATTCCTGTACAAAACCCCAACATCAGTACTCCTTGAAATAATTAGACAAAATGATTTGCCATCTTATGCATTACTATAATAACATATACTAATATTTGTTGCCTAAATCATTATTTATCAGTTTATGGTTGTTCTGTAAAATGCATACTGGTAATCATCTGTTGCATGAGGCTTGTCTGCCTACACATACAGTTCCATTCAGATGCAGAGATTTTGATGAGAATTTAAGTCTTTACAAAAAATTATCAGACAAATTTAATTTTGGTCCAAACTGGATTACATGATTTACCACTTTTCATGAATAACTAAGTACATCTTCAGATGTTTCAGCAAATACTGAATAGATTAATAATGCTTACTACTCAACTTCTAGTCACTAATTGGTTGATTATGTTGGTTTGTTTAATAAATGACTGTAAAACGGAAAAGTATAGGTTTCTTAAAAATATGAATATGAAACTGTTGTGCACATTGCCACTATTGCTAAAATATGAACTCATGCAAATCAAAGATGTGAATAGTCTCTACACGAATGACTAATCTATATCTGCCTAGAATGCTTCACAGTACACAGCTGTTTGCCTATGAGTCCAATGACTAGAGTAATCTATGTAAAAAAGATAAAGGTAAAGTTATCCCTGTAACAGGCCATGAAGGCCCATAGGGTTGAGACATTGAGGCTTCCATATTTTCCAGACAATCTCACAGATAGCAGTAAATTTGTCAGCCTTATGCACTGGCCACCCTCTTACCCTCCAGGAAGATTCTTGGTACTCATTTCTGTTAGAGGCTGAGTTGAACCCAGGGCCATAGTGCGGCTGGAAGAGTTAGGTAAATTAAAAAATTCAATGACTTCACCAGGACTCGAACCCGAAACCTTCCAGCTTGTAGCATGGTGACTCAACCAACTACACTACTGCGTGCCCACAGAGTAATCTATGTACATAAATTAAAATGTTTTGTTTGACAAATTCCTGGATTATTGAATGTTTGGGGAAAACCAAGAAAGCTACATAAGTCACATCAAAACATGTACATATGTATCAGGATTTTGGTAGAGAAAATTCTTGGATTGCTGCACATTTTTCGAAAGTAAGAAAGATATGTAGATCATACCAAAAGTCATGAGCATATTTTTTATAGTAAAACGAAGTTACATGTACAAAAACAGATCATCCTGAGTTACTGGAGATATCCTGTCACTAATCCACAGAATCCCAAGGACGATCTGAGCACGTTTTTACTACACTGCACCATCTTGAATATTCCACTGCTGTAAAAGCTTGTTTCAGCATTTTTCAATCATGTACACAGGATTTGCTGGATTGCCTCATCGTTCTGTTTGTGCTGACCCCTTGTGTGATCTTTTAAGGACCCGAACAGGTTGCAGTCCAACAGAGCCAAATCCAGAATGTAAGGGGAATGGGAGAGAACATCCAAGCCAGACATTTCAGTTTTCCCTAAAGTCAGGTGTGCAGTGTGAAGGCATGCATTGTCGAGTTGAAGAATGATTAGTCTTTTCGTGTGCATGTCACAAAGTGCATATAGCAGTTTCTGGAGCATTTAAATGTAGCAAACTGCATTGAGAGTTTCCTTTGTGAGCAAAGAAATCAACCAGAAAACTGTTCCCATTAATTTTCCAGCTGAAGGTATAATACTGGTATTCTCTAGAGATCCATTGTCATGCTAATCTGTTCTCTGTTTTGTGGTTATAATGGTGGAACCAGCTTTCATCACCAATCACAATGTTTAGTATGAAGTCAGTGCCTTAAGCAGCATCTCATTGAAGAAACTGCAATCACACATCATGCATCCCATTTCGTGTTCATCTGCCAGCAGTAGGGAAACCCAATGCCAATGAACTTTCTGGTAACCCAAAAACTGTATCATTTCATACACAGCATTGTATGCAGCCCCTCACTTTATTTTTGACAATACTCAAATTTGAGAGCCCTAAATTAGCAAGCAATTTGCTACAAAAGCTATACATATATGTATCTCAGCAGTCAGAGCTAATAGAGAAAATGTGGACTGATCAAACTAACATCCCTCTGGCATCCCTTCCCATCCTGCAGGTATATGTTTGCCAGACCTGGGCTCCCAGCTATTCCTTCGGCATCAAACATTCCCCATATATAGGAACTTTCCAGCCAAGAACTGAATGACAAAAAGTGACTTCCATGACATGTCAACAACAAGGTCAAAGGCATGGATGCACGGAGATGTTGCTATTTTGGTAATGTACCTAATATAGCAGTAAAGTAGCTTATTGTATCCATGAAGACACATCTTGTAGAATCTAAGCAGCTTTTGTATAGTGATATTACTGTGGTAAGGAAGGATAAGGAAAAAAATAACATCTGTTAATGTCTTCCACTTGTGTGTGTTATATATTGCAGTTTCATTCTTTAAGCAATTGACAATGACTCTAAGGGCGAGGTAACACCAAGGAAACTGGCAACCACAACACAACTGCAATTTCTGAGAACTGTTATCAGCCTGAGTTGAACACATGTTACTGAATGGAGTAGCACAAATTGAGGAAACAGCAACGTAGTTTCCTCAACTTGCAGTGCTTCATTCAGTAATATTTGTTCAACTCAGGCTGATAATTCTTGGAAATTGCAGTTGCCAGTTTCCTTGGTGTGCCTTTGCTCTAACAGTCAGATAAATACAGATACTTGGAACTATGTAGATGCTCCAATTCAGAATTAGGCAGACACTACAGACCAGTAGAAAAGCCCAGAAATGTCCCACACACGTTATAACGGAAATTATTATATTGCAGGTGGAGGAACTGATTCCCATTTGTATCTTTCTTTTTCTGTTATGGGTTCTTTAACAACACAAAGTTAATAGAAAGTCCGTCGAGTGTAACAATTTGCAGGTCACTTCTTTATCACTTCTGCCTTACATGTTTTGGTTTGACACAACCATCATCAGAGGCACTTATTACAATTATGAAAACACTGTCGTTGTTTATGATGTTCACAGTTATGTTTGTCATGTGGACGCTACTACAATATGTTGACGTGTAAAAGCACAACACTTGCTAGGATAGTTGAGTACACTATCAATTCTCACTTTCCATCCGAAACTGTTTTTAAGTTAAAACGCTAATGTTAAAATATTTAAAACATTTGATGTAAAATGCTAAGCTCCTCCTTGTTAATTCATCCCGAAGATGGGAGATGTCAGCTTGAGGTTGTATGGCTTATGGTTAGATGTTTCCTATGTGCTGTGTGTTGTGTACANCAGTGTTTTCATAATTGTAATAAGTGCCTCTGATGATGGTTGTGTCAAACCGAAACATGTAAGGCAGAAGTGATAAAGAAGTGACCTACAAATTGTTACACTCGACGGACTTTCTATTAACTTTGTGATTGATAGTGTAACGGACCAAAAATCAAACAATTCTTTAACAACACTTTCCCATACTGAGCCTGTATAGCAACAGGTGATCTGAAGATGAGTGATGATTTGGAAAGGACTGGGAAATAAGCGGTCATAGCTCAATTGAGGTACTATCCTGGCATTTGCCTGGGGTACTTAGGTAAAAAGGTAAAGTTGTCCCTGTGCCTATGCTATGAAGGCATATGGGAAAGTGGATGTATAGATCCACATTTCCTTGACCTCAGCACTAGCTGGAGGTCTGGGGTCAGCTTCACACCCCTGCCACTTTACTCCCAGGGAAAGAGACCCCAGTACCCATTGGATGAGGTTGGGTGGACCCCGAAGACGGTCTGGATGGCATGGAGAAGAGAAAATTCTTGACCCTACCGGGACTTCAACTCCGACCCCTCGGACGTCCAGCTCATAGCTGATGACTATACTATCCTATCTCTTGGGGTACTTAGGAAAACCATGAAAGCCCTCAATCAGGATAGGCAGTTTCCTGGCCAAGATTTGAACCAAGCAACTCCTGAATAGAAGTGTAAGGCATTACTTCTAGACCAGCATGTTCAGTCCTACTTGTACCATTGTTGGGAATGATAGTTATGACATCTTGAGACACTCAAAATAGCTTTGTAAACAACAACAGAAAAACAGAGTGCCTGGAACCAAGCAGACATTGTCTACCCACATCTTGACGCATTCCAAGGCCTGCTGAGTGTAATTACACAGGTCCTATGTGAGTTCTTTTATATATATAGTGTTCAAGCTCAACTGCTTAAGAGATTTGGATGAAACCTGCAATATAGCACTATTAACATGCAAGCATTACCATGTGAAATTCTAATTAACTTTAATTAATTTTAAGGGCCACTTTACCAAGGGCCCAAATAAACTTCTACAAATTCAAGTTTTTAAATGCAGTATTAAAATAGGTTTTCTGATTGCTAATAAATATTTGTATGTTCATGATTGGAGGTATTTTGATGAAGATCATCCTTTGACTTGGTCAGATTTAGACAGTAATTCATTTTTTAATCAATGAATGCTTAGAGCAGAGAAATACTGACAAGTAACTTTGTTGCAGGCAAAGATGGATGCCCTCCCAGCACATACATTCGGAATCAAGCATTCACCCCACATTGGCTACCTCAAGGACTGTATGTGGTAGAAGGGAAGTAAGCAGCCAGAATGGGTGGACTACTACCAGCTGCTGGTGCATTGTTCCATCACCTTATGATATGAAAATATTTCTCTCTCTGTCTCAATCATTCACATGTGCCTCTCTAATAACTATAGAATATATACTTTTAATATATTGTGATTTCAATTAGACAATGCTAGAAATGTTGCACACTACTAAAATTCAAACAAGAGAAAATGAACGACTGATATTAGTTATTTCTGAATGTCGTGCTCAGAAGAATAAGTTTGTACATCAACAACCTTCACTAAACAAAAATAAAAAGAGTAGTTACTAACGTTATTTTTCTGTTGTGTTCAGTTAAGTTATATGAATTATATTAAAGCCATGAGTATTTTTAATTATATGTCAGTTGATTCTTGCCAGTATAGGCTTATAGCTGATGATAAAGCAAAAATTAAGTATAGGTTGCATGATATATCATGTCTTGTTAATTTTTTTTAGTAATTTAGACCATGGTTGGGGCACCAAACCCACTTGCCTAAAACGTGACATGAAAGAAGATGCAAATCAGTAACCACTGGAACTCTTTTTAGGTTTTATTCATAATATGAGAAATTTGGAATACCTGAGATATAAGATTACATCAAAGTCCAAAACCCATATCTTGAAATTTTTCAGAAAATATTTAAGAATAAAATCTCATTCTGGTTATGTAAATAAGATTCAGCAGTTTTTTATGATGATATGTCAATATAAGTTATGACTTCTTGGACATACCCATCCTGGCTTCTATTTATAGTTGCATTTCAGAGACTGAACTATGCCGCCATCTGGAGATGGGGACTAGCTTTATCAGTTTGGCTCAGTTGAGTAGTCTCTTTACCTGAGGACAGAGACAGAGGCCAGTCACCAAAATATTCTTTTAGATAAAAAAATAAGTCTATGGATAATGTCCAAAAAGTCAATAACTGAAATAAATTTCCAGTTTATAACAGAAATAAAATAATGATGAACATCAGAGCCCTCTGATGATGACATGGCCAACTATAGCACTAAATACCATTAAACACGTGTAGCATGTACTGTTATCAATGGAACTGTCAGATTGTATTTTATGATCTATACAAATAGAAAAGGCATACAGTCATAACCAGTGCTTCTTTTCAGCTGGTACACTCTGGTAGGTGTACTGGCAAACTTAACAAAAATCATATATCTGTCAATGCATTTGCCACCATGATCATACTGGCTCAGAGGTCCATCCATTCTCCTGTTCACTGGGTACCAGTGGCTGAATTGGCCAGAGTGTCAAGGTGACTGTTCAGCTCCATCTAGCATTGAAAAAAGAATGCAGAGCTTTACCTCACTGCTTCCCCTCCCCCACAGAACTTCACAATGTAGTGCTTAAGTACAGGGGCAACTTTATCTTTATATCCATATACACACAATAACACATATGCATATAGTTATATAAAACACATTCTTAACTCCACTGAAAAGAAAAATAGAAAATAAAATATATAAAAATTTAATTATCTAGTTCTCTGTATAGTAAAATATTTTCTAGGGTCATAAATTTCAGTTACCATCTTCAGGTGAGGAAGGAAGACACCTACTCAGATGGGCACCTTAGAAACAGCTAGTCTCAATCACTGAAGATGGAAACAGATCCAGTTTCCAGAACGTTGTGTTTTCTATTCCCTAGAATTCTGGACAATGGGAAAAGTCCAAAAACCCAGTAATTCTGTGTGTTATCCACCATTATCAGAACCCTTTAGAATCTACTAGTATAGCCTTCCTGTTTAGAATTATTCTTTCTTACTGGAAATTGTGACAAAACTGTTATTGTATTATAATTTTTAAGTGTGATGACTGAAGAATTGTGATAATAGGCATATTCAATAATATGACTGCATAAAATAATTTATTTCTATGTTACAACTGGAATTTATATCCACTTAGTGTTATATAGTGCAAGACGGGAACACCAGACATCTTGCCGGGGTAGGGGTGAAGGAAGATGCAGTTAACACTCTGAAGCACAAATTTCTTCTAAATACTACTTAAAAGCTCAGCTCAGTTGCTTCTATGCACGAAACACACTGTGTCTCCATTATAAAGACATTTGGTTAATGCTCTGTACAGAAATAATTGTTGAGTATTCCAAGACTCATACTGTGACATGACACCTGAAAGGCAGAATAGTGGAACCATAAGAGACTGTTTTTAGGCAAAGGCTCAATAAAGACGTGCCCGTGGCAACAGATATGCACACAAGAGTAGAATAACTCTTGGAAACGGCATTTTCTATGTGATCTGTGCCAAGGCTCTATAGAAAGGGCCATCAGGTAAAATAGCCAACCATGGCTAAGTGCCATCATGGATCAGTTGTGAGTCAGTCACTGGCCAGTAAGAACATCAGCATGGAAGCTGAGGAACCTACATTGTTGGAAACCATTACCAGGCAACAAGTGATGAAGACACAGAACACTTCAAGTGTGCTGCAGTACCATGATTTGTAGGGTACAGATCAGTGAAACTGTTATAGGTACCTGCTGTTGCCAGTTATAAGAGTCCAGTAAATCCAATTTTCAATCCAAACGCCATGTCTAGTCACTAACTCATTCACTCAGTCGCTCACTCATGGAGATGAGCCCTTCTTGAGAACCAAATTGTGCAGCTACTCAAGAACTTTCCAGCATTTTATGGAGCTCAAAGGTTCATTAGTGCTCACAAGAGCCCTCCACTGTCCCTATCATGAGCCAGATCAATCCAATTCATATTATCCTATCTCTCTAAGATCCAATTTAATATTATCCACCCACCTATCTCTTGGCCTTCTCAGTGGTCTCTCTTCCTTCTGACTTTCCCACCAATATCCTATATGCATTCCTCTTCTCCCCCATGCATGCTACATGCCCTTACCTTCTCATCCCCCTTGACGTGTCTAGTCACTAACATGTGACATAAATACAACCTGAGCAAAATTAAGGGATTTTTAACGTTAAAACGTAAAAAGTCGGTACTTACAGTAACCACTGTGCTTCAAAGGGTTAACAAATCCATAGCACGATTAATATATTAACATTCTGGTGACATAACTTTTTCTCCTATCATCAAAATTCGAATTAAATTTGGTCACAAAAAGAACACTTTCCACAAAAATGTCTGAACATTTTGATGCATGAGACAGAATCGAAATGATCTGTAAATCTGGAAGAGCTATTTATGTTCTTTAGTGGCAAAGGCATGTATATCCAACATGATCAGAGGTTTATGACAATGGTCTGTTCACTATACGAATTCTGTTTCAGACACTGTCCGCCATATTGGGTATGTTTAAATTTGTCCTAGACAATCAACAATGTTGAACATAATATTTCTGTAATCCATACTTTGTGTCCTCCTAACAAGGTGATAGCGCCAGTAGGTTGTCTGGCCCTGAGCAACTGTGTTGCAGCTGGTTACTATTGACCTGCATATTCTTAGGTTTTAATTTATATGGTCATTAGGATCTTCTGCAAAAGGGGAGAACAGTTAATTAAAAATTGGATTATAGACCAATCTTTGATACTGTGAATAGGTATACATGTTATAAGTGGACTAATTCAGACTCATATGCTTATTAATGAACACTACATTAAGAGACGATTGACATATAATTTTTAACACCACTACCATAAACATCATGGATTAAGCTTCAAGGATGTTTCAAAGGATTAAATCTTTTTTATCCAATGACCCTTGACATCTTACACTATTCCTGTTATGTCAATAGAGCAGCTTCGGTATTGTTTTAGGGATTCATTTTAAAAGTTCTAATCATTTCTTCTGATAGTTTTTCACAGCTTTAATATGTTATTGCAATTTCTTGTTTAATATCTACATTGTGTAATCTATCACTGTTAACCTCTGATCACTCTGAGGAAACAAACTGTTGCTGCCTTTCAGCCCCTCTCTAACCCCCCCACAACCCAACAGTTATTGTCGAACATTTATACCCATGTAAGAGCTTAGGTGTGGCCAGTAATCTGCAAAATTTTAGTGAGAGATTCACATTTAGTATTTTTCTAGAACAGTTCCACAGAAGCACTGAAATGTATTTAGTTCTATGTTAACATCTTTGTTTTTCTCATAGACTACATTGCATGCAGCCTAAATATTCAAAATTCCTTCCTTATATCAGATGTTTGGCATTCTTTGAAAAGACTTCTGATTTCCATATTTTCTTAGTATGTGTATGGCACCAGATCTAAAGCAGCTATCATGGTATGAATAAAACTAAACCGGGAACTGAATTAAAATATAGATCTCATCACTGTTAATACTGGTACAGAAGTTAACACCAACTGACACACTTACTCTCCTTCGAAGTTTTTCTGATTGTACTTGAAGCTTGTATGTTGAAGGTTAAAAAAATATTTACGCTTTTATTATTAACTTGTGATAACTGACAATATTGAGGTTAATGTTCCATATTTGATGTAGTAGAAAGTAATATGTTAAGTTTAAAACACTTTATATTGATAACAAAAAATGATTAATGCATTTTTTTATTTTAATATTATGTAATATAACTTAATATAGCTAGAGGGGATCTAATCTTTATTTTCATTTGCCTGCAGGCATAACTTGCAGTTCTTTACTGCAAAATTTTAATTTAACTGTGTGAAATAAATTGTGATAAAAATCAGAATTTGCATTTATTATTATAAATGAATGATATATAAATGCATAAACAAAATACTTACAAGTTGACTGGTAATAATATATTTTTAATCCAATATTTTGTTCCTTGTATTACTTAAAGAAACTGCAGTTTACATGTCAGTGGTATTTTCTGTGACACTGCATTGAATGTGATATATGAAATGAGAAAGTGGATGGAAACAGAACAAATGCAGCAGTGTGTAATCAACTTCAGATGATAATGAAACTCAAGTATGAATGTACTCATAGACCTTGGAATGTGATAGAAAGCTAAGCTTTTAAATTTTATTTTCTTTACATGTATAGAATATGAAATTTTGTAAATCAGCTATAGTGTAATGATTAATTGTAGTTATGACCTGTAGGTGGTTAATAAATCCAATTACCAATCCAGACCCTGCCTTTAGTCACTGTGATACATGTGACAATATTAACATAAAACATTTCTCTTTAAAGGAAAATGTTAGACCACAGAGAATTTCAGAATTGTACAAAACATGCATAAACAGCCTTGAAGAGCAAATGCTCGCATGTTTTTAGGATGGAGAGAACTTCTATAAAACAACATCAAGTGAAACAGTTGAAGAGATAAATTTAAAAATTATATGTGGCAAGTAAAACAGTAAAAGTTAGACTTTTTGGATATAAAACAAGATAGGAATCCATAATCATTCTGGTGAATGGATATAAATAGAGAAAGACCATTGGGAAATAGACTTTAAAGGATTCTGACGATGGTATATGCTGTACAGAACTATAAGGTTTATTTTGGACTCTATCCATTGTCTGGTATATATATGACAAAAACCACAATGTTTCGGAGACTGGATCTGTCTCCATCCTCAGGTGGATGGGGCAAGATAAACCTACTCAGTTGGGCCCGTTAGAAACAGATAGTCTCAATCACTGGTCTTTCTAACAGGCCCAAATGAGTAGGTCTATCTTGCCCCATCCACCTGAGGATGGAGACAGATCCAGTCTCCGAAACGTTGTGGTTTTTTTGTCTTATATATACTAGACGATGGATAGAGTCCAAAATAAACCTTACAGTTCTGTACACCATTGGGAAAGTTGAGATACTGAACAATTCATACCACAGAGGACATAATGTGGTGCGGAAGAGACTGGAACAAAGTTCTGAATTTTTAACTGCTGGAAAAAGAGGCAAAGTAACATTAACATGACTTGAGACAGAGTAGAAGGCGAAAGAAGACTGTTGTCTTTGGGAATTGAGTAGTTGTGAGCAGAAGATAGAAGTCCCCGACTCTTACTGCAAGTTTTCAAGAGGATTAACATACAAATAAACCATGACTGGGGAAAGGTCCATGCCATAACCTGACAGCAGAGTCAAATGTATGAAGAAGACTGTCATATCTTAAAATTTGCATTAGAAATAAATGACTATAAGTTTTAAACAAATATCTCAACTTTTAAATTATATAATTCAAGCAATCAAAAATGTTTTCATATCATCCAATATTTGCAACACAACAAGCAGAACCTGATAACAGATAAACTGTGACTGACATGTTATTCTGTGTACATCAATTTACTCCAAACTAATAATAGAGAAAACTTCTTGCCTTAAATATAATAATCTCAGAAAGACTGACAACTCCACTGTAGCTGGGCATGACCTTCCTCCTATGCTGTATGCGCATGTGAGAAAGTGAGAAAGAGACAACACTGACAGAAATAAAATATAATCTTGATCATAAAAGATGTCGAGAGTAAAATTACAGTAAAGCAACATAAAATAAACTGAACAAATCCTCTTAACACACAGTCAAGAAGCTTGTAGTCTAATTTATGAACAATATCGATTATCCATTTGAACAAGTTTGTTAAAGAAATACTCTTGCTACTGGCTGCATTTTCTCCCCTACTGACAGTCTTCTGTTTCTTACACAAATAAAAGTTTTAAGATCATGTGAAAATATTCTCATATGGTTCCTAAATAATAAAGTACTCTTTGCACTCATTCTTGAATACATATTTCTGACTGTTCAACAGCTACATTCTTTGTACATGTAAAAAACTAATTCACTACATAAAGATATAGGACACTTTACTCTTGTTGGATAACATATTGACTACTAAAATTTTATGTACAATATACTTATGCTATTCACTTGATTATTTCTTTTAAACATAATCCATATTTCTTTCACACCGCTGAGAACTCAATGGCGAGTATGGTCCCGTAATTTTGTGCCAGGCCTGTGGTGGAGTGGAAGTTTCTATATTTCTTTGGTACTGTCTTGAAGTTTCCTCTGGTGAGTGTACAGTTCTTGATTGATCTTTAGTCCCTGAACCACAAGCACTGGGCCACCTGGAAGTTATCACATATGTAACATAAATGTTTTATTTTCTTCATCTCCACTGATATTTTGTAATTTATTCACCTCTGCGAAATGCTTATAATTCTGCACCAGTCAACTGGATTTGCATCACATAAACTGAAAATGACATGAAGCCTTTCCTCGGTACTTGATCCATCAACAAGAATCAACAATTTTCGTCTGCCTAACTTCAAACATAGCAACTATACTTATAACTAAAACCTATAAAGAGTTTGTTTAAAAACTGAGTTTAACGTTTTAACGAATACCTTCTTTTTACTATCCATCTTTGCATGCAAAGAACTCTACTGCAGCATGGAGAACTTCAATTGAATTTTCCCTGTTACAAGACAAATCTAAGTTCATCCCCTGAAGTCAGAAAGTTAAAGAAGGAAATACTGGTGCAGCAGTAAGCTTAAAAACAATATGGAACAATGTTTTCTTTCTGCTATTAAGATTCATGATCACTTCATTTACATCACAAAAGGCCAAAATGAAAATTTATGATGTTTTGAAGAATATACCAGGAACTGATGACAGTATTAATTATACTGTAATAAAACTGTAAGCAGAAGCATGTAAATTAATTCCAGATAGGATGTACTACTAAAGTATTTTAATATTTACTTTCTTACATAGAAGATGGATTGAAAAATAATTCTGACTGATAAAAGGCATTCTCAGAATTTAAACTGTTCTTCAACTCTCTGTACTTGAAACGGTGATTTCTTACTGACCAATTTTATAAATAAGAGGCGAATTACTTACGTGGCTCTTTCATGTTCCGAGTGCAACAAAACCAAATGTCGCCATCTGTAAATATTTGGATATTCCAGTGGTCCAATAGCTGAGCTGTCCAGAGCTTGCATCACTGCTACATCTAACTTGGATGGTGAGTCACTGGAAAAAAAATGTAAGCAGACCTTCTTTCTGCTGGTATGCTCTAGTATACTGTATTGGCACCTTTTATTATAAGACAGCATTAAATAATAATAAGTTCTGGGAAGAACTAATTACCTATTCTCCTCTCAGTATAGTTTGAATATATATTAGGACAAGTAGAAAATGCATAATGAAGTCAATGAAACAAAATAATTCGAGAGGCTGCAATGTTAACATTACTGACAGGAAGATTTATGAAATATGCTGTTCAGATGGCCTCAGGTGGCATAAAATACTTACCAAATTTCATGAAGATTGGTTTGGAAATTCAGGTAGTATTAAGGTTATTACCTTGACAATCTGAGAGACTACAATGCTAGTATTACTAATGGAAAGGATTTATATTGTATGCTGTTGAGATGACCTCAGACAGCATGACAAATACATACCAAGTTTCATGATGATCGATTCAGGAACTCAAGTAATGGTGTTACCTCAATAATTTGAGAGGATAGTAATGTTGGTACTACTGATGTGAGGGATTTATGAAGCATGCTGTTGAGATGGCCTCAGGTGGCATGATATACAGATAAGACCTTTCATGATGATCAGTTCAGGCATTCAAGTAACATTAATGTTACTACAGCAACAATTTGAGAGGCAGTACGTTGGTATTACTGATGGGAGAAAATTATGAAGTACGCTGCTGAGCTGGCTTCATATGACATGATATACAGGCCAAGTTTCATGAGGACTGGTATAGGCACTCAAGAAATATTAAGGATTTGCCTCAGTAGTCTGAGAGACCACGATGTCTGTATTTCTGAAGGGAGGGATTTATGAAGTCTGCCACTGAGATTGGTTCAGGTGGCATGATACACATGCCACATTTCATGATGACTGGTGCGGGAATTCAAGCTATACTAAGGTGCTGCCCTAGCGAATGTGAGAGGCTGTAATGTTGTCACTACTGATGGGAGGAATTTATGAAATACGCTGTTTCAATGGGCTCAGGTGCCATGACATACATACCAAGTTTCATACAGACTGGTTCAGGCATTCAAAAGTTGTCAGAGTGGTATATACATACAGACACAAATAGAAAGGTAGTCTCATAAGCCTACTTTCATTTTTTCAAAATAAGGAAAGTATGCTAAAAGTCCGTTAGAATGACTACATATCACTATATCCCAGAAGATAGAACCCTTCATAATCACCACAATAAGAACCTCAAGTCCTATAAAATGAGTTTAAAATAAGAATAAATGTTCTATTGCAACCCAGTCCTTGGTTTGAATTTCTGCTTGACACCAGATATGATGAATAAAGGTTTTCATTGGTTTCCTTAGTCCCTCCTGGAAACTTCCTGGATAGTACCAAGAACAGGCCATGACTACTTCCTTCCAGATGCTTTCCAATTCATTATTCAACAATCATCCTACCATTTGATATTATAGTACAGAGAGTGACAGAATCATAGAATAAACCACAAACTAAACTGAAACTACCATGTGCCAGAAAAGATGTGAGAGTTGCTGACCATATAAACATGAGCCTCCTGCAGGTAGCATGAAAACTTGTCTCAGTGTTTTAGATAAATAAATGTTGTAGTTGTGACGATACTAATTATCCTCTCCTTTTGTTCATAATATGACTCTAATCTTTACCCTTGTATAAAAACATCTGGTCCTTCATCTGGCGTTGACATATTGGCAGTATCATCATCATCATCAGAATTAGCATCTTCACAGCAGACAAGTGATTCACTACTGCTGAGTTTTCTAGGGGTTGATGGTGGTGTAAAATATTCATCTTCATCATCTGGAACATAAATAAGACTTATTTTTATTAACCTGACCCCAAATATATACACAAGTTTCTGCACAAGCATATACAGTATTATGATTTATTATTGACTGCCCTCTGTACAATGTTAATATTCCTCTTCCAAATTCATGTCCAAAAAATGTAACACAAGGAGTTACAAACAGAAGGCATAAGCCTACTTTCCTACTGCACAGATTTCTAGGCCTCCAAATCCATTATTATTATTATATTTATTTTATTCTATTTTTGTGAAGATATTAATATTAAAAAGATTCTGTCTACATTACATTTGTCACCATATGGGCATACACTCGTATCCAGGACGTGCTCACTTTGAATCGTTGCTGGGACACTGAGGTTTTTCCTCAGGTCTTCCAGGCCATGATTCACTTCCTTACAAATCCTCTCCAATTCATCAGTGATCCTACCATGTGAAGAAATAAAAGTATAGCTACTGACAGCACCTTATAAAACTCACAAAAAAATATATACATAGGAACTGTTTTAACTGTCAACACAAGTATACTGAGTTTTTAATGTTTTTACAATTTGATCTTTATTCCTGCTACATGTTTCAGTCATATAAGACCAAAAAACCAAAAAAAATCTGTTGAACATAACAACAAAGTGTTGTGGCATCACCGTCTTGTCACACATTAATGTGCAGGTACAGCCTATGGGTGATCAGATACTACCATCAATCCTAAGACCAAAATAATATTTTCTAAGCTTCCAAATTATTTTACATTTTACAAAACAAAACAAAAGATGTATATTTTTTAAGTTCTGCTATCAAACATCAGTTGAGAACCCTAAATTAAGTGGCACTAGTGTCACTCCCACTTCATGCAATGGCACATCTGCCGTTACTACAAAACTGCAGAAAACTGAGTAGTCTCTAATGGCATAATGCTCATACCAAATTTTGCAAGAATGGATCAACTTCTTCAAAAGTTGAAATGGAAACACAGACACAGGTTGCATGATGATTTGATAAGCCTTCTTAACTTTCTTTAGGAAGGAAATTTGGTTAATAAGTACAAATATATTGATATATGACGTATTCTATCTTCTGAGATATAACACCATGCAGTCCAATAAAAGTCAACTGATGTTACGGAAGAACATATTGCTTCCATCTTCAGGACTGAAGAGTAAGCCAAAGCAAAAAAACCATCATGAAGCAGGCAGCAAAGAGAGCCAGCTGCATGTGGAAAAACACAAGATTATACGGAGTGGGTGGGTTGGGGGGAATGTGAAAGCACCGACTATCAGTTTCTATTAAATCCAAGATGTTATCATGCAGCTTTAAAACCATCATCTGCAATCTAGAAACAAGATACATCAAATATGCAAACTCATATTAAAATACACAAACTGCAACAGCCAATTCATTTATCAACCAGTACCATAATACCTAATTATGATGCTTTAAAAAAAAATTCTTTGTTCTTAGGTCCAGTTAAGCGGCCTCCGTAGTCTAGAGGTAACGTTCCCACCTCATGACTCGCAGTATGCGGGTTCAAATACCCGGTAGAGGTCATCGAATTTTTAAGGGTGGAAAAATTCAGAGAACAAGTCCTCTGGGAGGGACTTTAAGCCGTGGGTCCCATGTTGTAGCTTTACGGCATGTAAAAGAACCTCATATCTCCAAAGGAGGTCACTGAGCCAAATTGCGAACGTTTCCCGCCCAACAGCAGTCTCTAATACCTCTGGTAGATGGGGGAAGCATTATAGATACCTCTCAGCCAATAGAGCCGGTCTCGCTGGCTGGGCGGGACTGATGGTAAGTACCAATACCGGTAGGATATAGAGACTGGTAGAAATCATAGAGGGAAGCACAATGGACCAATACAGGTCTCAGCGCATGGGGAAACCCACCCTCTCCAAATAACTAACTAACTAACTAACTAGGTCCGATTAAGTGTTGGATCCTAGGTAATTTCCTGGGAAAACTGAAGAGTTAAAAGAAAAGTATACTTCATTATCACTGAGCCACAAATTCCACATGTACTGCCTTGAGACTGAACCTGGGTATCTATAATCTTGGTCACAGTAAGCTTTGTATCACATCGTTATGAACCACGTACACTATTAACTGCCAAAAGATCATACCATGAATATATAGATATACCTTGAAGAGTTTTTTATCCTTTAAACTATAAATGGCTGCAAGAATGTATGGGGGAACAATACTGCCCACCAAGGGTCGCTACCTTCCTTACTTCCCATCTGTGCTCTCTTTTTTTCTTTCCTGCTTAGTGGTGGGGTGGAGTCCAGCTGGGTTCACTTGGCACGGAGGCCACTGATTGGCCTATTGTACCTGCCCTGGGTGATTATGATGATGGAGAATTTTGTGGAGTGGAAATTGGCAGGGGAAACCGAAGTACTCGGAGAGACTCTGCCACAGCGCCACTTTGTCCACCACAAATCCCACTTGACCAGACAGGGGGTCGAACCCGGGCTGCTGGGGTGGGAAGCCAGCGACTAACCGCTTGAGCTACGGCATGGTCGTATCTGTCCTCCTTGCATACTGAGAAGGTGGTCCATGTTTTCCCACTGCACATCTTCATTTATTTGTTTGTTTGTTTGAAAAGGGGAGCTTGTTCTGTGTGGAGGAGGAGAAAGCAGAGAGCATTAACATGCTAAATAAGTTCTTCAATACTACAAGATCCTCTGGACCGCATATTTTGTGAAGAAAATAATTTTTTGCATCCAGAGTTACAAGTAGAGTCCATAATGTCTACACACCTAATGCAGAGTTTCAGTCATACAAATCCTATACTGCTAATGTATATATTACTTATTTGTAGATGGTACAAATTTGTAACATTCAGACTGCAGACGTTCATACAGCAAATCCTAAATATTTTAATATTTGTAACTGTAATAATCTCACCTTCCCTGCCACCAGAATAATTTAATATGACAAGATTTACAATTTGTACCTTTCGTCTGATATTAGGCTGATTAAAGAATTAACAAGGGTGAAATGGTAGAAATATACAGTATTCACAGTAGAAATTGAGAAATTGATACAACATTTTAGGTCAAAGACTAAAAAAAGACAGCATTTAAAAACGTAAGATACAGACAGATTTTTAAAATGATCTTAGGGAAATGGAGTGGGAAGGTATGAACTGGTTTTAACTGGCTCAGGATAGTGTTCAATGACATAGTAATGAACCTTTGGGTTCCCTAATGAAGACAATTTGTTGACAATAAAAGTAATTATTGATTAACATGGTTATAAACATCCACCAGTCACATTTAACCAAATGAATATTTTCACATATTTTGCAAATTATTCTCTCTCTCTCTCTCTCTCTCTCTCATACACACACATACACACACACACGGCTCTGATATCTCACCTGAAATGTCATCTGATTCCAGCAGATGATGGTCCAGGTGGCTACTTGAATATATATTCACCACTTCATGTAACTTGTCAACTTCTAACATAGTGGATGTCTGTTTCTTATTACTGCTGTGTGTTCGCTGTTTAGCTGTTCTGAAACTGAGTTCTTTGTGAGAAGGACCTGCCATCTCACCAGTTCTTCTACCACCACACTGCTCCTCGGAATCTGGTGAAAAGTGCACAATTAACTAGCTACACCACATGTACAACACAGCAACAGAATGATCAGCCATGAAGAAAATCATTTAGTCCAAGATGCTCCAAGTGTCAAAAGAATTGAAAGCTGCACATTTTAGAGCACAAATAAGCACTATCTACATTCACTGAATTGTATTAAACTTTAAAGAGCTCCCCAAACATGTGACACAAACCACATATCTTGTTAGCATTTACACCTTAGCTTTAAAGTTTAAAAACATGGTCAATTCCATATTTTACAGGCTAATAAAGGGGTAGAATGTAAGGATAATTCAAGATATTTTGTTATGCATTCTTATAACATATAGAATATTACTTAACCACCTTTCACATACGAGGTCTATAAAAATGACTTTTATTTTCCAAACCAAGTTCTTCCAGTACTGTCCAGATTCATCACTGTAAATCTGGCCAGCCTTCAGGTTTTATTCTAGCATAAATTTCTGAAATTCTGTGAAAAGGGAATCAGCCGCAGCATCAACACTAATAACTTTTCTTAGTATAACAATTTGACAAAGACCATACCATTACTTACATCTGGTCAGCCACTCAAATGTGGTCTCAATTCACCTTCCAATCCCAAAGCTTCATTAGAAACCTCAATTTCTGTGCACATACAGAACCGAACATGGGAACTCCTTTGCTCATTCATGCCTGAATGCAGCACACAATTCTCTGTATGACCTCTTCATACTATCACAGCTCCTTAACAGTTTTACCAGTATCTAACCTCCTGAATGCTGACCATTCCAACAATGCATCACAACCCAGAAGAGCATCATCTTCATATTCACTGCCATGAGAACCTAATTTCACATTCATCAATTAAGGCTTGCTGTCCTACATGTCACATGTGCTTTGTAGTTGATGACATACTCTTTGGCTAGATTTGTCACCAATTCCCTATTTTGGAAATCAGGAGTAAATTCAAGCTTATTTTTATTGCTGGCAAAACTCTGTTCCATTTACAGCCATTTCACTAGGTTCACAAACTAATGATCACTTCTGCAATAGCTGGTGCACATTTCAATGCAAGGAGTCACAATGATTTAAAAAGAAATATTACCTACAAAGAACATTCACAGAAGCAGTGGAAGCTACTGAAGGGGAGAATGAATAGCATTGAAGGAGTTCTGGAAAGAATATAACATTCACAACGCTGTTAAGAACACACACACTGCCTAGCACTAAATTACACCTACCATGAATGCTGCTTGGACAAATCTCAGCCCCTCAGTTTGTTCGGTACTTCAAGGAATTTGAAGAGCAAATGTAATTAATATGATAAAGGACTGTCTGCTTTATAGGCTCAGACAAAAATACCAAAAGTTTTATGAAGGTACTTAGAGCAATACACGATGCTACTGCATGCTGTCAAATGACTTATGATAAGAAAAACAGTACGAACATCACTGGACAGTTACTTACAGAAATCACAGAAAAAAGACCCAATGCCATCAATGTCTGCAGAACCGCATCCAAAACAACTGAATATTAAATACGTATTGGTTTTCTTACAATTATGCTTTTATACATACATGTACTGCACATACACATAATGAACAAATTTTCATTTTCTTAACACCTTCATTAGTAGCGATTATTGTGAAGGACTGACGAACTACTGGCCATTTTCACAGTAAATATTTCAGATATATGGATTGTAAAAATAGGAAATACAAAGTTCTGGCTGAAAAATAAAAAGCACAGAAATACAACACCTCAAAGACTGAGGGAAATGGGGTGTATACAGATGGGACTAAAGTGACTCTGGTTAATTCCAATGGGGGGTTTGTTATTATGGTGTTGAGGCTCTGGATTCCATAAAAAAGGGCAAGAGTTTGAGTATCTAGTAACTACTCATGAAGAATACAACAGTTTCATACTCAAAACATGAATTAAGATGGGGTACCCAAAAGAAACCGAACTAAATTTTTTTGTGGTCAGAGCTTTTGTAGTACCGCGTTTTGCCACTATGAGCGCATAGAGCTGACATTCCTGAGTTGATAAGCCGACTACCGTTGCTTCAGAAGGTAAGGACTAGTTTCGGCAGAGTTTATAGTGACATCTGTTTTGTGTGATCGTCGTTTTTGCAATGGCTGATTTTCGTGAACAGCGTGCAGCAGTGAAATTCTGCTTTTTGCTCGGGAAAAGTGGAACAGAAACTCTTGAAATGTTAAAAACGGCGTACAAGGACGATGCTATGGGGAAAACTTAAGTGTTTGAGTGGTTTTCCTGTTTCAAAAATGCTAAAATGTCAATTGATGACAAACCTCGTTCTGGTCGTCCTTCCACGGCCTGAACACATGAAAATATTGAAAAAAATTCGTGAAATCATCAAGGAAGATCAATGACGGACCATTGAAGAAATTGTGGAGCTGTCGGGAGTGACTTGGAGCTCAGCGGCCAGATTTGTGGCAGTCGGGTGACTGGTTTTTCCATCATGACAATGCCCCTGCTCACACAGCCCTGTCTGTATGACAATTCTTGAACAAAAATGGTATGACCCCTGTTCCTCACCCTCCATACTCACCCGACCTTGCCCCGTGCGACTTTTTTTTGTTTCCTCGAATCAAAAGAGACATGAAAGGAAAAAACGACGGAGGCGCTGTCAAGCATCTCAAAAGATGAATTTAGACAATGTTTTGAAAAATGGAATAAAAGACTAGACAAGTGTATTAGTGTAAGTGGAGAGTACTTTGAAGGGGATTGAAGGTTTGTGCTTAAAATTTGAATAAATAAGTTTAAAAAAAATAAGTTCTGTTTCTTTGGGTATGTTGTCACTAGACAGGACTAGCAGATATTCTCATGTCTGGAAAGACTAGATGGGTAATGAATATATGGTTCTTTTCAATGCTTTGTTAATCTTCGGATATACGGGTGAAACCACCACTCAGATGTAACAGATGTACATTTCATATGCCATTTGAAAAGTAATCCCACTTGAATTTTTACAAATAAATAAATTAAATAAATTGTTACTATACTTTGAATTTTTTTTACTTTTTCAAGTAATATACAAAATGTGTGAGCTTCACAAACTCACCATCAAAAGTAAGTCGTCTTGAAATTCCATCCAATGATGATACGGTGTTAGCTTTGCTTGTAGGATATGTATACCTCAAATTCTGACTTCTCTTGAAGGATGAACCTTTCCTAGCATTTCTCACAAAATTCTGATCTCGCCTAAAGCAAGAACACTTTATAGCATCAGACCATATTCTCATACATTCTTCTTCTGTTTGAACATGGGTATTCTTTGTGGCACTATTGTTCTTGTTTGTGTCTTTAACAGTTTCTTCTCGTTCTAAGGCACTCAGGATAAGTTTGACAATACATTTTGTCTGATTATGTTCCCCACCTGCTTTTCTCTGGTCCTCAGCATATCTGTGTGTATTACGATAACTTACACTTGTACCATCCTCTTCATCGGAATAGGAACAAGATGATAAGGAAAGTACAGATTTCAGACCAGAAGTGAGAAATTCCAATTCATCACTTCCCAGCTCAACAAGCTTATCTACTACAACTGCAGCAATTCGAGAGTGAACAAGATTAAAATCAACAGATATAAATCGGGCATCATCCTTAAAACTTCTGACAAGATCTTGTAGGTGTTTAATTTCTGGACAAAGCATGTCAGAAAGTGAATCCCCAATATGTGCACAGTTACCAGCCACTGTGAGCCCATCGTAAATTCGTTTACCAAACACCTGGCAGGATTTTTCTACATATAAGAATGGACTAAGACCTGGATTCAGTAAAACATTCAACAATGCTTCATCTTCAACATCAGCTTCTGCATCACCACTCTGATATCTGTACACATTTGATGCTGTCTTTGTCTCATTTTGCACTAGCAGTTTAGCTGGACTGTCATCAGAGAGGCTGCAAGCTTTGAATGCAAGGCACAGATCTGATACTGGACTAACAGTCCCATCATCACTTGAATGATTTTCATTCTGTTCTGGTGGAACCAATGAATAACCATTCATTGCATGTTTTGTGCTCTCACATTTCTCATGGCTTGAATCTGAAATAACACAATGGTTTCGTTTCTGCCCAGCTTCCTGAAATCTATTCTTGAGATATGCCTCAAGTTTTTGAAGTCCATCCGGAGAGGCCAAATTTGTAAATGTATCAAGAAATGGCCAATACTCATTCCAGCCAACCTTGAATTCCTGAGCCAGATCCCTATAATAAATAACACAAACAGAAGGTAGTATCAACGTTTACAATATATTAATAATTACTGGTACTGGGAACTTTAACTGACTGAAATATACGAAGGGGGACCCAAAAATAACCGGAACCGACCTGTTGCGCGCGCATGCTTTGTAGTTGTGAGTTGTGCTGCTAGGTGGTGTTAGCTGGGGGTCTCCCGCAACTGTTAGTGAGCTGGCGTGAGTCTGAGTTAAGTGGTTTGTCTGTGGTGCTCTGTTGTGTGCGTTCCTGTTTCAACCCTTTGGCGATTAGTGAGATGGCCGACCAGAAGGAACAAAGAGTGTGCGTGAAATTTTGCTTTCTGTTAGGGAAAACTGCAGCCGAGACTGTTGGGATGCTTCGGCAAGCCTTTAATGATGATGCTTTGGGGAAATCACAGGTCTAC